TCTCTACTTGATGTACTTGTTAGGCATGTCATGTATGTAGTCTCCTTCATGTACTTGTTAGTGATGTCATGTATGTAGTCTCATCCATGTACTTGTTAGGCATGTCATGTATGTAGTCTCCTTCATGTACTTGGTAGGTATGTCATGTATGTAGTCTCCTTCATGTACTTGGTATGCATGTCATGTATGTAGTCTCCATCATGTACTTAGTAGGCATGTCATGTATGTAGTCTCCTCCTGTACTTGTTAGGCATGTCATGGATGTAGTCTCCTTCATGTACTTGTTAGTGATGTCATGTATGTAGTCTCATCCATGTACTTGGTAGGCATGTCATGTATGTAGTCTCCTTCATGTACTTGGTATGCATGTCATGTATGTAGTCTCCTTCATGTACTTGTTAGGCATGTCATGTATGTAGTCTCCTTCATGTACTTGTTAGTGATGTCATGTATGTAGTCTCCTCCATGTACTTGGTAGGCATGTCATGTATGTAGTCTCCTTCATGTACTTGGTATGCATGTCATGTATGTAGTCTCTTTCATGTACTTGGTATGCATGCCATGTATGTAGTCTCTTTCATGTACTTGGTATGCATGCCATGTATGTAGTCTCTTTCATGTACTTGGCATGCATGCCATGTATGTAGTCTCCTTTATGTACTTGGTATGCATGTCATGTATGTAGTCTCTTTCATGTACTTGATGTGCATGCCATGTATGTAGTCTCTTTCATGTACTTGGTATGCATGTCATGTATGTAGTCTCTTTCATGTACTTGGTATGCATGCCATATATGTAGTCTCCTTCATGTACTTGGTAGGCATGTCATGTATGTATTCTCCTTTATGTACTTGGTAGGCATGTCATGTATGTAGTCTCCTTCATGTACTTGGTAGGTATGTCATGTATGTAGTCTCCTTCATGTACTTGGTAGGCATGTCATGTATGTAGTCTCCTTCATGTACTTGGTAGGTATGTCATGTATGTAGTCTCCTTCATGTACTTGGTATGCATGCCATGTATGTAGTCTCCTTCATGTACTTGGTAGGCATGTCATGTATGTATTCTCCTTTATGTACTTGGTAGGCATGTCATGTATGTAGTCTCCTCCATGTACTTGGTAGGCATGTCATGTATGTAGTCTCCTTCATGTACTTGGTAGGCATGTCATGTATGTAGTCTCCTCCATGTACTTGGTAGGCATGTCATGTATGTATTCTCCTTCATGCACTGGGTAGGCATGTCATGTATGCAGTCTCCTTCATGTACTTGGTAGGCATGTCATGTATGTAGTCTCCTCCATGTACTTGGTAGGCATGTCATGTATGTATTCTCCTTCATGCACTGGGTAGGCATGTCATGTATTTAATCTCTTACATATACTTGGTAGGTATGTCATGTATGTATTCTCCTTTATGTACTTCGTAGGCATGTCATGTATGTAGTCTCCTTCATGTACTTGGTAGGCATGTCATGTATGTAGTCTCCTTCATGTACTTGGTAGGCATGTCATGTATGTAGTCTCCTCCATGTACTTGGTCATGTATGTAGTCTCCTTCATGTACTTGGTAGGCATGTCATGTATGTAGTCTCCTTCATGTACTTGGTAGGCATGTCATGTATGTAGTCTCCTCCATGTACTTGGTCATGTATGTAGTCTCCTTCATGTACTTGGTAGGCATGTCATGTATGTAGTCTCCTCCATGTACTTGGTAGGCATGTCATGTATGTAGTCTCCTCCATGTACTTGGTAGGCATGTCATGTATGTAGTCTCCTTCATGTACTTGTTAGGCATATCATGTATGTAGACTCCTTCATGTACTTGATGGGCATGCGATCTATGCAGTCCCCTTCATGTACTTGATGGGCATGCGATCTATGCAGTCTCCTCCATGTAATTGTTAGGCATACCAAATATGTAGTGATCTCAGCCATAGTCGATTATGCTCAAAGAAAATAACACTACATGCGCTTTCAAACTGTGCAGTGTAGTTAGAGTGGCATGGTATGTAGCGAGTTTGCCTTCAGTGTCGAGGCGATTGATTAATCACGAGTTCGAATTTTATGTTTCATGTTGTAATATATGTTTGTTCATTTGCATGTACAATTATTATTCCGACAGATGGCCATGGTCATTTGTTCGCCTGGCTAGGTTGTGGCATGTAATTAATGTCCACTAGTCAATGTACTAGGTAGAATGAATATATATCGATCATTGAGCTACATAGTAATATGCAATGGATTTAACATTTTCCATATACATGGTAGAGGTCTAATGTAGACACATACATTGACGATTTAAGTGATACAATATGAGTCTTCCCTCTATGCTTGGAATAGGACTACCATATTCAAGATACAATCTGTTTTCAAAATGGCTGGAGTTAAAGGAAGAAACAAGAGCGGATTTCACACCAAGTAAATATCTATCTGAGGTAAACGAAGTTAAACAGATACTTGGTAAGTTATATGATATTGAACATAATGGGCTCAGATCATTCTAATATTATCAGTGATGTCATACACATATTCTTTGAAGTGCTGACAATTGGTTCAATTATTAACATGGAATTTCTGTTTTAGGATTATCGACACTGGTTTGTGAAATTGGTTGTAGCTCTGGTACGGGATTGTGTCGTTTAGCTACAGACTATCCCAACCCTAGATATTATGGTATCGATATTTCCCAGTCCGCTATTAAAACTGCAAAGTCACTGGCAGAGACAGCTAATCTAAGCAACGTAACCTTTAGTTGTACCGACACCACAAGGTTACAGGATGATTGGGAAGCTAAATTCGATGTGGTGTATTGTATGGACGTGGTCCATGATGTACCTCGACCTGACATACTTTTAAAGGAAATCCATCGCATCTTGAAAAAAGGTGGATTTTTCATCATGGTGGATATTAATGGTCACACCAAGTTAGCTGATAATATGGCCCTACCTTTCGCATCTGTGAACTACATGTTTAGTTTATTTGCCTGCATGCCAATGTCACTGTATGCAGATGGCTGGGGTCTTGGATCAATGTGGGGCCAGGAAAAAGCATTTGAAATGCTGACTAATGCACATTTTGAATGTTTGTCAATCTCTGATTGAGCCCATCATTTTTAATTTATGTAAACGAAAAAATCTCTGAATGATCTGTCAAAATAAACGGATCTCATAAACTTTCAGTAAACACAAATATGTGTATCATTGATTATACCTAAATAACAACACAAAGTAAACATTATAAGAGTGAGTGTTATTTTGTTCGAAGACGAGAGTTAACAATGCACCTCCTAAATATGCTCACATGTAATATAAATCTTCTAATTATAGTTACAGAACGGGAAAAGAGTCAGAACACACATGGTGTGACATCATGTCCAAATTTAATTAATCATAGAAAGTTTAGAAAGAACTCCTGCGGGTTGAGAGTATAGGAGGCACATTTAAGATTGACAATGTCCTTTCAAACAAGAAGCTTGGCAACTAATATTTGTCTGCTACTTGAGATGCACAACATTAAAATACTGTGATCTGCTATTAATAATTAGATGATCAATAAAAATGTTTCTCAATATTAAACTAATTACGTTTGTGGATTACCTCAGAGCACCTGTAAACCAAATTTCATTCTCACATACATGGAAATGTTGCAAAGTCCTTTTTTTCAAAATTTTGTGAAAACATACTTGAAAACGTACATTCACACTCGTGGAAATGATGACTATGTTAAAATTATATTTATATGCAAAATTGTATAATCGATATCGGCTTACCTGTAGCTACAATATAGTACAGTTATACCCGCGTGGTCTCAAACACACATCTATCTTCAACCGAGGGTTTTCTTCCACTTTTGCTTGGGTACACGTTCCAGCATCCCAGTTTGTATTCATATTGCCACCATTAACTCTATCATGATCACTGTCAAATACACGGGAACTTTGACCAGTAGGCTGTCCAGTGGAAAGTCTGAAACGACATATGTATCACTCAGATTATACAGAAGTGAATTTAACAAGCCATGCACGGCACAGTTAGTTATCAAAATTAAGATATATAGTTCTGTTTTCTATTAATATAGTTGATATTGATCCAGATGCTGATGATTATGATGATTTTTTAACATTACAATCTTTGACATTCAGTCATCTTGTATCTGATCATCAAATGAGTACTTGTCAATATTGAGAGATATTGCTCTAAAACAGCATTAATTAAAACCAAATGACCATCGGTCGACCATTTTGAATATATCTATAACATGATGCTTAATGAATATATAAAATTTGAACATAATCAGTCAAAGCATGTGGCTCTATAACCACATTCATTAAAACAAAATGACGTGCATCACGGAGCCATAATATCCAACCAAGTTTGAACAACATTCATGCATAAACGATAAAATCCGGTTCTGAAATGCCAGAAATGCTTGATTTATGATGATTTTTTACCACAAAAATGGCAACCATTTGGCCATTTTGTATGAAGTATAGTATCTAGGCATGTCTACAATATAGGTCCGGACGCACACACACACGCACAGAAGTCAATCCATAAGTCTGCATTTTCAGCATGTAGATTATGAAGGTGTCCATGTTCCGCTTGTCAGTCTGTGATGTCTAATACATCAACATACATACATCAGTACCTGTGTGAACTGGTTTTAAACAGA